AGATGGCGCTCAGGGTGAGTGAAGATGGCGCTCAGGGTGAGTGAAGATGATGAAGAGCGCTCAGGGTGAGTGAAGATGGCGCTCAGGGTGAGTGAAGATGGCGCTCAGGGTGAGTGCAGATGGCTCTCAGGGTGGGTGCGTTAGAGGTGCTGGGTGGATCAAAGGAGCTTTGTATCGCCTCAAGCAATTCTCAGCCTTAAACAATTTCAAAAAGATGGCTGTCTGGGTGAGCGCAGGTGGATGTGGGGGGAGAGCAGGTGGACCGCAGAACTTGCCAACTTGACCACTTGCACGCTCACAACCACAGGTGATCGCAGAATCTCTGTCTGAAGAAGAGATGTTGGGCCTCAAGCAGACGTTTGATTGAGATGATGGACCACGGACAGGAGCGGCAGGACCAGTCCAGCATCCCGCCTCTCCGCCTCACCCTAATTTGCACTCGCTCCCATGTGATAGCGGAATCCCTGTCTTAAGAGCAGATCTCCGGCCCGAAGCAGAACGTTTGAGATGATGGATGGACCGTGGACAGGAGCAGCACCATCACAGTCAACATGGTCCACTCTGGCTCCCCTCCTGTGCGCATGCCCACTTGCACCCACAATCACAGGTGATCGCAGAAGAGCAGATCTCGGCCTGAAGCAGACGCTTGACATGATAGACACGGACAGGAGCGGCACGATCTCATTCGAAGAGCCCCTCTTTCTTCCCCTCTCCTGCACATGCCCACTTGCACTCGCAATTACAGGTGATAGCGTATCACTCTCGGAGGAGGGGATCTCGGGTGTGAAGCAGACGTTTAACATGATGGACCGCGGACAGGAGCGGCACGATCTCAATTGAAAAGAGCATCTTTCTCCCCTCTCTTGCACATGCCCACTTGCACTTAACTCAACTACAGTTATAGCCGAGTCAATATCAGCTCAGGGCTGAAGCAGACGTTTGAGATGATGGACACGGACAGGAGCGGCACGACCACAATCAAAGGGCCCCACGCTTCCTCCCCTTTCATGCATGTGCTTGCCTTGCCACAGGTGATAGCGGAATCCCTGTCTGACTTAGAGATTTCGGGGCTGAAGCAGACGTTTGAGATGATGGACACGGACAGGAGCGGCGCCATCACATTCAGTTAGCCCCGTTCTCTCCCCCCACCCCCCCTCTCCCACTCGTGTTCACCTGCTCCCGTTCACAGGTAATCGCAGAATCGTTGTCAGAAGAGGAGATCTCGGGTCTGAAGCAGACGTTTGAGATGATGGACACGGACAGGAGCGGCACCATCACCTTTGAGGAGCTCAAGGCAGGGCTGCAGCGCATCGGATCGAACATGCAGGACAGCGAGGTGCAGGAGCTGATGGACGCGGTAAGAAGGGGCGCTATGGGGTGCTATAAGGTGCTATGAGAGGGACTGGGGATATGGACTGCAGCGCATCGGATCGAACATGCAGGATAGCGAGGTGCAGGAGCTGATGGATGCGGTGAGTGGGGCGTATGGGACAAAGGGGCATGGGAATGGGGCCATGGGGGACAAGGCGGCAGCGCATCGGATCCAACATGCAGCACAGCGAAGTGCAGGAGCTGATGGGCGCGGTGAGTGGGGTACATGGGGATGGCGGCATGGTGAAGGCGGCATGAAGAGGGGCGTGGTAAGAAGTGGGCTGCAGCGCATCGGATCCAACATGCAGCACAGCGAAGTGCAGGAGCTGATGGGCGCGGTGAGTGGGGTACATGGGGATGGCGGCATGGTGAAGGCGGCATGAAGAGGGGCGTGGTAAGAAGTGGGCTGCAGCGCATCGGATCCAACATGCAGCACAGCGAAGTGCAGGAGCTGATGGGCGCGGTGAGTGGGGTACATGGGATGGCGGCATGGTGAAGGCGGCATGAAGAGGGGCGTGGTAAGAAGTGGGCTGCAGCGCATCGGATCCAACATGCAGCACAGCGAAGTGCAGGAGCTGATGGGCGCGGTGAGTGGGGTACATGGGGGATGGCGGCATGGTGAAGGCGGCATGAAGAGGGGCGTGGTAAGAAGTGGGCTGCAGCGCATCGGATCCAACATGCAGCACAGCGAAGTGCAGGAGCTGATGGGCGCGGTGAGTGGGTACATGGGGATGGCGGCATGGTGAAGGCGGCATGAAGAGGGGCGTGGTAAGAAGTGGGCTGCAGCGCATCGGATCCAACATGCAGCACAGCGAAGTGCAGGAGCTGATGGGCGCGGTGAGTGGGGTACATGGGGATGGCGGCATGGTGAAGGCGGCATGAAGAGGGGCGTGGTAAGAAGTGGGCTGCAGCGCATCGGATCCAACATGCAGCACAGCGAAGTGCAGGAGCTGATGGGCGCGGTGAGTGGGGTACATGGGGATGGCGGCATGGTGAAGGCGGCATGAAGAGGGGCGTGGTAAGAAGTGGGCTGCAGCGCATCGGATCCAACATGCAGCACAGCGAAGTGCAGGAGCTGATGACACAGTGGAAATGGCGGTGGGGATAAAGGGGCCTGTGGTGCAGAGCAGTGGGTAGGTACAAGGTGCAACGTGCAGGACAGCGAGGGGTCTATTTTTGAGGCGCCTCAAAAATAGACTCCTCACGCGTGGGGATGGGGCCTGTGGTGCAGAGCAGTGGGTAGGCACAAGGTGAAACGTGCAGGACAGCGAGGGGCGACAGCTGACGCCGAGCATGGAAGGTGGAGGAGGGAGGGGGGGGGGGAGGGGGGGGGAGAGGGAAGGGGGAGCGTGTGAAGACTGTAATGGACGAAGGGGTCCAACCAACCATGGGCAGGGTGGACAGCGACGACAAAGGAAGGGTAAAGTGGGGTGCATTGAGGAGAGGGTGAAGGCAGAAAGAGAGGAGTGTCAGGGGTCAGATGCAATATTGAGAGGGGGCTGGGCTCAGTGGTGAGAATCACCAGTCTGGATGGACGACAAGACCTGTATCTCTTCCATTTTCCTTCCGTCGTTTGGGCCCTTAACATTGTCCCCCGCTCCTCTTCCCCACCCCCCCCCCTTCCTCCAGGCTGACTTCGACGGCAACGGCATGATAGACTATGGGGAGTTCTTAGCGGCCACGATGCATCTGAACAAGATAGAGCGCGAAGAGACGCTGTTTGCCGCCTTCTCGCATTTCGACAAGGACAGCTCGGGATTCATTACAGTGGACGAGCTGCAGCATGCTTGCAGGGAGTACAGCATCGATGAGGACTGTATCGTGGAAACAATGCGAGACGTCGACACTAACAATGTAAGCACTAGCTCTGTAAGCAGTGGGACTATAAGCTCTAACACTGTAAGCTCTTACAATATAAGCACTAACACTGTAAGCACCCGCACAATAAGCACTAACACTGTAAGCACTCGCACAATAAGCACTAACACTGTAAGCACGAGCACAATAAGCACTAACACTGTAAGCACCAACAAGCACAAACACTGTAAGTAAGCACTAACATTGAAGCACCAACACTCTAAGTAAGCACAAACACTGTAAGTAAGCACTAACATTGAAGCACCAACACTGTAAGTAAGCACTAACACTGTAAGTAAGCACTAACACTCTATGCTTCTGATTGGATAGAGCCTGCTCAGCACCTTCCAGTGAGGTTGCATCGGCGCTCATGCTTGGGATCGTCATCCCCTTTGCTTCGCGTTCCTTCTGCTTCTCTTCTTGGAGCAGGATGGGCAGATTGACTACAACGAATTCGTGACAATGATGAGGGCTGGCAACGGTGGTATCGGGCGGAAAAGCCTGGGGGGTAGCTGGACCAGCGGCAAGCTGCTGAGAGACCTGGTGGAAGCGGCACGGCAGCAGCAGCAGCAGCAGCAGCAGCAGCAACAGCAGCAGCAACAACCAGAACCCATGGTGTCTTGACTTGAGTCGTGCGATGCGACTTGTGACATGCCTGCTGGGCTGCTGTAATGACTGACGGGTAGATGACAGGGCGAGGGGAAAGCAGCCTATTGTAGCATATTGACAGAAGCAAGTAGGTGTGCGTGAAAGTAGCTCGCAGGGGTGCGAACTCGGGAGGAAAGGAAGCATCATTGGGGTTTGAGCATGAGTTTGTCTTCAGCGATGGTGCAAGGTGTTTGTATTATATCATATGCTATTCGATGCGAAGTGTGATGTGATATAATGTGCAGAAATGTCGTCATGGCGTTGGTATCTTCAGTATGGACCTTTTTTTATTTGAGTATCAATTAAGGTCTTAATTGTAGATGCGAATGTAAACTCCTTGGTTTTGGAGTCCAATACTTGTAAGTGTAGATACAGTGCACGTCAATGCTGCAAGGGTCCAGTCGTGTGCAACTCCAAAACCGCGTTATCAACAATTCCGGGTTTGATCCACGCTTCCGCTGCACAAGTCAACCTTGGACTTTTGCGGAGGCGTGCATGCAATGCAATGCAGGGGCAAAACGCCAAGGCAAAGGTTCTGTTCTGTCCGCGTCTGACTGGAAGGCAGGAAATCGCTTCTTGGGATGGGATGGGAGGGACAGTTTTGCCGCGTTTGCTCCCCTTTCACGCGTTGCTGCGACATTGACCTTCTGGGGGTTGACGAAAAGGCAGCTCCTCCGGGCGACGCGAGATTTACATCGCTTGCGAGCGAGAGGCGGCGGCGTAGGGGATGATGCGAGGTATGATTTCAACAGTGTGCGAAAGCGTAAATGAATTATGAGCAGTGCGCGAATGGACGGACGAGCTGTGCGAGATTTACCGAGGAAGGGCGAAAGGCCATATCTGCACAGTTTGCGAGTGGAGAGAAAGGGCCCACGACTGTAACGCACCGTATGCGATCTCGCCAAGGGGCACGCGAGATGCACAGCGCGCGACAAACCAAAAGGACACAGGTACTGTATGCGAACGAATCGGCGAAATGGCTGTGGCGCGTGGCCCTCCGATTTGGCCCTTGGCCCATGTGATTCTGTGGAACAGCTCTCGCGAGCGCGTTATCCCCATCCCATCCCACATGCCGCTTTCCCCGAGATAAGAATTTTTTAGACAGAAAGAACACAACAGAACAGAACCTCCAGCACCAGCTCTATCTGTACAGAGCTCCGCTGCAGTGCTGTGCTCTGTTTGTGCTCGGTGCTCCGCACTTATTCACACCGTGTCGCCGATCATTGAAGGACCCGCGTCCGTCAAAGATTCGCAAGTCGCAACTCCGAGCTTCGCTCGACAGAGCGAACATCTCTCAGCCAAGTTGGCAAGGTACTAGGGCCAACGCCCTCGACATCCCAGCTCACTCCGCAGCACACGTCTGAGTTCCGAGCTTCTGAAGTATCACATTCGTTCCGAGCTACTTGAGTCGCTGCATTTCATTCCAAAGTATAACATTCCCTCCGGTTGGTCTTAGCACGTTGGGCTCAGCACGTTGGGCTTAGCACGTTGGGCTTAGCACGTTGGGCTTAGCACAGGCTGTACTATTCGCTCCGCGAGTGACTAACCTAGCACTCACATCATCAAACAACGCCCGTTATGGCGCAGTCTTCATGCAGCTCCCACCAGGATCCGCAATGCACGGCGGCGCAGGCCTCGTCGCACGAGGCCCCCTCGCTCCGCCTCCCACCTTCCAAGAAGCTGCGACTGTTCGGACAGCAGATCCAAGCGTCGCCTGTTGTCGCTCAGCCTCCCAGCGACTGCTCGCCGTCGTGCGACGTTACCAGGTCGTCGTTCACGTCGCCCACGTCGCAGTCGCTCTCTGGATGGAGCACCTCAAACTCCGCTGAACAACTTCCACCCCCGTTTTTCCCGCTTTCCCATCCGTCGACGTCAAATTCCGTGGAAACCGCTCGTAGCTCTCCAGATGTTTGCCACGTGTCGGCATCTGCGCCGTCGCTTTCAGATCTCGGCGACGACATCCTTCGGAAGATTTTCCAGGCGATGCGGCCGACGGCGTGGGATCTCTGCCGGCTGGCGTGCGTCAGCACGACGTGGAAGAATCTCTGCTACAGCCGGCCGTTCTGGTCGAAGCTTCGTGTCGGCCCTGGTAGCATGCATCCCGGGATGGCGAAACTCGCGCCACGCTGGCAGAAGCCTCACCGATCTCTTTATCGATGACCCGCGGTGCGAGCTGCACGTACTTAATCCCATCATCGTCGCGTGCGCTTCGTCCTCCGCCGCGTGGTCGTGGACTGCGACTCGATCGTCGCCGCGGTAGCCGCTGCTCCAGGGCCCGGAAACGCGGCGCGAGCGAGCGCGGAGTCGTCGATTTGCAACCTCCTATGGCTCATCTCGCTCCACTGCCGCAACGTTTCGAAATTAGAGCTTCTCTCCTCGCGCGCTTCCACCGCCGCCGCGGCAGGAAACGGCGCAGGAACCGGCGTCGTCATCGCCCCTCCCTCCGCGAACACGGGCTCCGCGTTGGCGGGCCTCCTAGAGTCGCGACTAATGTGGTTTCTAACGACCGCGTTCCGCGGCATCCGGCAATTCTCGTGCGTGCTGCCCGGCAGCATGACCACGCAGACGACGTGCTTAATGGCCATCGCATGGCGCCACCTCGCCTCCGTGCGCCTCCACTGCGGCGCGCTGCAGCTCGCGGATCTCCTCGCGCTGCGGAAATGCGGCGCGCTCAGAAGCCTGGAGCTCGTGGGCGGCAGACTGGAAGATAAGTCCAAAACGGCAGGACAGGGGCCGCCGGGGGAAGGGGAGAGATTATCTAGTCTGGAGGTGCTTGTATTGAATGGGTGTGATTATGACCCTGCGACTGTGGCCAGGCTTGCCTGGCATGCACCGAAGCTGCAGCGGATTGTGATGAAAAGCGGCTGTCGAGACATTACTAGTGCTTCGCAGAGCAATGTGCTTACGCAAGGCAACGTCTTTAGCAGAAGCAGCAGCATTCGAAGCAGTAGCTGCCAGGAGTCTTCTACCCTGGGAGGCAGCATTGCACCTGGTGCTGCTCCTGCAGGTGAGCCAGGGCCGGCATCCCAGTCACTCCTATCTTCGCTTCCACACATGCACACGCCATGGTTGCAGCAGCTGCTGCAGCAGCAATCACAGCCCGGACAGGCAGCCATGTGGCCGGAAGTCCAGAATGGCTGGCTGGAATTGTTGAGGCCTTGAGTCGTCAACATAGCACTGGTGGTACTGGCCCAGAACTGAGTGCTTCTGGGACCAAGCCCGTGTCTGCTGAACCATTTGCTCAACTTAGGCTGAGCCTTAGCCAGGTGGGAAGGGGTCATGTGAACGTTGTTTCACCCCATGTACCAGCCTCCATTAGGTAGAGAGGAGTTTGTACTAATACAAAGGGGGTCTTCCCATACTGGAGTACAATATGAAATTGTTTTGGTATGTCCTAAGAAAAATGAGGAGCTTGGGCCGCAAACCAGAGCATTTAGGAACACCTGAGGCTACGCATGAAATCTGAGGTTCATTGAATGGCTCAAGTGGACAACATGTTCTTCATAAACTCATCTAAACTACATCCATGCGTCCATGCATAGAGATTGCTACATCGAATTTCCAACTAAGAGTAAGTTTTTTTCTCTGCATCCGTGTGGACCACAATGAAACCGAGGTTGCCATTGTCGAAAATTCTTATCCTCACGTCAGGGCGCTTTTCGGTTTCACCGATTGGAAGAAAGGGAAGTCGCTCGCACATGCTGTGCTGGTGCACATGCTGTGTTGGCATGTGATGCGATGTGGTCATGTGACTGGGCACACCAAGCACAGTTCAGCGCAGCTGGTGGGTGGGAGTTGTTGGGCCACTGGAGAAAGCTCGTTCTGCCAACACATGATGCAGCTTTTGATTCGCCTAGGCACTTGAGATTTGAAAACAGCAACTCGATCCAAAAGTCCTCAGAAAAGTGCACACTGCGGATCCAGCAATGCCTTTTGGATCCTCGCTGGGGCAGTGCAGATGGTGACATGGCAGGCTCGATTATTTCGCGTACCAATTCGCAGACGGTTTGGCAGTTGACGAACTTCTTTACAACGTCGTCACATCTTTCGGGTAACATGTGCCAGTCTGGATATTTACATTGCAAACACTGTTCATATCCAGAAACCCTTGCAAGCAATGCTTGCAAGGAATCCAATTCCGCGTTTCGCTGTCTTTTTTTGTTTCCCACCCACCTTGAGCTGCCCCGCTACAGTTTCACATCATGTGCACTCATCTGCTCAGCCCCGGAAACCCAGCAATGTCTCTCCCTTCGCTTCATGAAAACCGCGTGAACTGTTTTCCAACTTGCCCGTCACTCATCACCCCTGCTGCTGACTCCCCTCCCCTCCCCTCCCTGACCTCTTCCCTCCCCACTCCACCATCTTCCGCTGGTGCTTGCGTTGTGTGGTATATTATGAGGGGTTTGGCAACTCCCACACAAACGTACAACGCTGCACACATAGAACATCCACGCCTCAGCTCCAGCTCTCCATTCAGCCTTCCAGCTCTCGGCATTCAGTGTTCACGTCCAGCACTAGGACAAACTCTCGTCAGTCCTACCTGCGATAGCAGAAAAGTGGTCATGGATTACTACTCTTTCTCCCGCAACAACCTCCAAATGTCGACTGAATCAACGAAGCCCGACACGTCCTGCAAAGCCTCGGAACTTCCTCGAGACATCCTGCTGTCTATCTTCTCCCATCTGAATGCCCTCGCGTGCGCGCTGTCTTTGTGTCTCCAAGGAGTGTATCGCACGGGGAGCGACGCACTCTATGGCAGTCCATTGACGTTCCTCGGAAGATGCGCACCGCGTTTGGGACTACGAGCGGCGTCATGCTGCGACGCGTGGGAGCGGGAAATGTCAATTCGCTCCAGCTCTCTGGCTCCGGAATCACCGGAAAGTCGCTCATCCAATTCGTTCGCGTAAGTACATAAATTCCCATGATGTGCTCGCTTTCCTCCCTACAGCACATGGCGATTCGTTTGTGAACCATCGGAATTTTTTTTTTATCTGAGCTAAGGAACAATTAAGGAACAATTTCTGACGTCATCCTTACGTTTTGCGCAATCCTCCTCAATTTTGCAGACGAAGGCTCTGGCTCCGAACGTAGCCGAGATTTCAGTTGACCATTGCTGCAACCTAAAAGGCTGCGACATCTTGGCCTTCTCCAGGCGATTTCGCCGTCGCAACCTCCGCCTCCACCTCCTCTGTTCCAGCAGCAGCAGCAGCAGCTAACCGTACCTATTATCGGCATGCTCTCCGCCAGCTTCATCGAGCATCCAGAGCTTCCGAATGGACGGCTGCAAATGCGCCACGTTGGCGGAAGTGGACGCCATCCGGTCGCTCGTGCGACGGCTGGATGTGTCGCAGTGCGGGTGCGGTCGCATAGCCTGCCTGACGCACTGCGAGCAGCCGCGCTGCCCCGGGCTCTGCTCGCGCTGCACCGACGTGTTCGACGATTCCGGGCTCAAGTGCGGCGCCTGCACGCGTCCTCGAAACCCTCGCCAGGTAATTGCGCATTCAAACCCTAATTGCTATCCATGCCACGACTAAAAGTAACCAGAGAGCGTTTCCTAACACTCGAACCCTAACCTCTGTCTGATTTGGAGCCGAGTTCCGAGACGTCTCTGAATGAAGTACCTCCTAACTCAATCTTCCCTTTCCGTTTGTATGTACCCGATATTGAATGTGGTTCGCTTTCAGGCCATGCGAGTGCAGATTCAGCGGATTCATGCTATCTTGGGCGGTGGGGAGGCTGCACGCACCAGGTGGACCGACGTGAGATCGGGCGTTGTCACGGTCCGGATGTAAAAGCTCTTTCTTCGTGTCATCTAATAACGTTGGCTAGGCATAGCCACACTACAAGACTGTGCATAACTACCAAACAGGCTTGTCACTTTGCATTGCGTTTTTATTCCAATGTCCGATGTTCAATCAAATTAGTTATTTCTGTAAATGGTGAACTACCGTATGTATTCCACAGCTCCTTCGAACCAGTACCTCCACTAGGTGTACAACATGTCAGATCGCAACCCAAGAGACTGACGAACCACGGCCACCGTACCGCTCATGGCACTGCTGCTGCCGGAATGCGTCGTGTGCGTGTCGGAATTCGACGACGACTCCGCCGTCCCACGTGTCCTCACCTCTTGCGGCCACTCTCTCTGCGCCACGTGTATAGCCGCGCTCGCCGCGCCATGGACGCTCCCCTCATCCGCTTCCACTTCTTCCTCCGCTCCCCCCGCAACGCCCTGGCTCCCCCTTCGAGCCCCGCCCCTGCTCTCCCCTCCGCTTCCGTCCCGCTACTTCCGCGCCACCTGCAGCCGCGGCCTGTAGCACATCGCTGATCGTGCGGTGCCCCGAATGCTCCGTGCGCTCCCGCTCAGCTAACGGACGCGCGGACGGATTTCCGAAGAACATCGAGCTGCTCAGACTGCTGCACGCCATTCGCACCTCCAGTCGCACCCAATCTGCCGCCGCATCTGACGGTAGCACTGAGCAAGCCGAGTGCGGTATTGCCGTAAGCAGCGCTAGGCTAAGTAGCAGATTCAGAGGCAGCAGCAGGAGGGGTAGTGTCCGGCGCGGAAATTTAGGGTTAGTGTCAGAACGAGACAATAGTCGCACTGGCGATGGTTCTACACCGCAGACGCTACCAGTGGGGTGATAATAGGGGGGGTAGCAGGTATAGTAGGAAGCAGTCGGAGCGAGAGTGGCTGCTGGGCCGGCCTGCAGGCAGTACTAGCCATGGAGCACCTGGCGAAGGCACGTGATAATAAGGGAGCGGGTGATAGTAACGAAGGAGTCGTTGCAGCATCTGGATCTGGTGAAGCACGCATTACAGGGGGTGATGATAACGAAGCAGGGGGCCTGCAGGAAGGACTTGAAGGGAGTGCTACTAATGAAGGGGGAGTGGGACGCAGGGATGAGAGCAGGGAAGATTGGAGAGGCCGGGTTTGGGAGGTGAAGGGTCAGCATTGACGGTGAAAGGTTGAAATTTGGGTGGGCGAGAGATCTGATCTGGATTGTGAAAGATCTGATCTGATTGGCCAGAGGTCAGGATTGGGTGTGGAGAGTGAGATGGTGTTGCTGGCATGAGGTGGCGGCGCATCGCCGACAATGTAACCGCCGTTGCGCGGTTACCAGTGACCCTCCTTGCTCTTCACTGCCTCCATTCGACAAGACCGTGCGCATTGTGGTCCTGCCGGTACGGTTCTATGAATTTCCCAATATATTCTTAACCGTGTCTTATGCACATCCGCCGGAATAACCTTGTTTCTTGTGTTCGTCTTCTCACTAGCCTATCGTTGTTCACATCGTCCTCACGCATGTCTTTGCCATTCATCCTGCCCCCACCCAAGCCAACCCCTTCCACTCCCTCACGTCCTCACACCTTCCTCGCGTGTTGTCCCTACCACTGTCTTTTCCACTCACTGCGTCTTCCCATCCCACCCCCTCCTGGGGCCTCACGCTATAGCTATGTTCAACTGCAATCTTGTTTTAAAATGTTTCTTTCCCTCGCTTTGGGTTGCAGGAGAGTAGTCTTGTTCTAAGGAGTGGCTCGTGCTCTCATTGCTCCCTACCTCCTGGAACGAATGTTTCACAGGACGTCCCACTTATCACACTCCCTGTTACTCCTCCCCTCCCTCCTTCCAGGAAGCTTCCCTTCTGCACACGCTCTCAGGCCCCGCCCATCGCATCACCGCACTCACTCTCGCCAATAGCAATAGCGCCACGTGGCACCAGTAGCTCAGGCACTGCGCACGACCAGCTGCTAGTGTGTGGGGACTATGGGGGGTCCTTCCATGCATGGGACATCGCTGACTCACTTCCATCTCCTCCTCCTCCCCCCTCCTCCTCCTTCCGCTCCTCCGCTTTTGACTCCAACCCACCCTCGCCTCCCTCCCACCATTTCCTCATCCCTGCCTTCCGCCCCGCCTCTTCCCGCCTACCCCTCGTTCCAAATCCCCTCGGCAAACACGCTTCCGCACCAGCCCACGCCATCCCAAACCCACTCCTCAGCCGTCCACAGCATCCGTTGTAACACCGATTCCCCGCCCCTCGTCTGGTTACCACATGGAGCGAGGAGAAGGACTGGCGGTATTCCGGTGTGCTCTCGCTGGCCGCTCCTCAGCCCCCGTGATTATGACGGGTGTAATGATGGTGCAGCAGGTGACTGTAACGAGGATGTGGGTGTACAGTGGGAGTGGCGATCGCACTGTCAAGGCATGGGCTCCCAACGCTGAATGTGAGTCCCTCCAATCTGCGTTGCCCTTTCTTCTTCCTCCCTTTCCTCCCCTTCCCCTCCTCCCCGTTCTCCTCCTCCCCGTTCTCCTCCCTCCCCGTTCCCTCCTCCCCCTTCCCCTCCTCCCCGTTCTCCTCCTCCCCCTTCCCCTCCTCCCCGTTCTCCTCCTGCCCGTTTCTTCTCCCCCATCCCCCCCCATCTTCCCTCATCCTTCGTCATCCCGCCTTCTCTCATCCTGTCTGCACCATGCTCTCGTGCTGCAGATTTTGATCTACTGCCTTCATCGCTCTCCTGTATGCATTTCCTCCTTCTCTTGTCCCATTTTAGTCCTCAAACATACCTTTTCTCGCCCTTGCCCCACTGCAAATTTCTCTCCCCCTCTCTCCCCCTCTCTCCCCCTCTCTCCCCCCCCTCCCCGCCTCTCTCCCCCTCTCTCCCCCTCTCTCCACCTCGCCCCTCTTCCCCCTGGCCCCATACTTCCTCCCTCTCCTCTTCCCCCCTCTCCCCACTTCCCCACGTTCTCCCCAGGGCTCCTTCGCCCTACTAGCTCGCATGGAGGGGCACACAGCACCTGTCCCGTGAAGTGTATTGACTCCACTCGCACCAACTTCCCTCCCCTCACTTCCCCCTTTCCTCCTTTCCCCCTTTCCCCCTTTCCCCTTTCCCCCTTTCCCCCTTTCCCCCATTTCCTCCTTTCCCCTTTCCCCCTTTCCCCTTTCCCCCTTTCCCCTTTCCCCCTTTCCCCTTTCCCCCTTTCCCCCTTTCCCCCTTTCCCCCTTTCCCCCTTTCCCCCTTTCCCCCTTTCCCCCTTTCCCCCTTTCCCCCTTTCCCCCTTTCCCCCTTTCCCCCTTTCCCCTTTCCCCCTTTCCCCCTTTCCCCCTTTCCCCCTTTCCCCCTTTCCCCTTTCCCCCTTTCCCCCTTTCCCCCTTTCCCCACTGCATCCCCCCTCCCCACCCCATCTCCCCCCAGGGCTCCTTCGCCCTACTAGCTCTTATGGAGGGGCACACAGCACCTGTCTCGTCCATTCAGGTGGATTCTCAGGTGGTTGTCAGCGGGTCGTGGGACGGCACCGTTCGTCTCTGGTGGCGACCGGACCACTCCCCGATGGCCGTACTCGTTTGTAGCAGCCCCACTTTCAGCACCTCAGCATTCAGAAGCAGCATGGGCGTGGGGCAGGGACCAGGGATGGGGGTGTGGGTGTGAGTGTGAGTGGGGGGGTGGGTGTGAGTGTGAGTGTGCGGGCGGTGGTGGTGGATGAGGAGGGGGATCTGATCTTATGTGCAAGGGAGGATGGGCGAGTGGAGGTGTGGCACGGCAGCAGCAGCCTCATGCTCCTCACTCCGGACCATGCCACGCCCGTACCAGCAACAGCAGGCAACACCAGCAGCACAGCTGCTACCACCAACACCACCACCACCGCTAGCAGCAGCACTCCCAGTGCTGTTGCGACTGCTGATCCTTGCTCCTCGCTGCCAGCGCTGCTGGCTCTGGCAGTTTGCCGCCCGCTGCTGGCTGCAGGCGCTGCTGACGGCTCCATTCTGGTATGGATGCGTGACGGGGTGGGTGATGGGATGGGGTGCATGGATGGTGGGATGGATGTTGGGATGGGTGGTGGGATGGGTGGTGGGATGGGTGGTGGGATGGGTGGTGGGATGGATGGTCGGATGGATGATGTGGCACGCACATGTGCCTCTCTTTGGTGGTGTTGTCACGTGGTTGATGTGATGATAGCAGTGATGAGGCATGCGTCTTTGGTATCCAATCCAGTCGCCATGCCGCATATTCAACTCTTGTCGTTCCATCACCCATCTGTCCATCACCCATCTGTCCACTCCCTCACACGCTCCCATTCCCTCCCTCACATGCTCCCACTCCCTCTCACCTTTTCACTCCCACTTCCCCTCACCCCTTCACTCCCTCTCACCTTTTCACTCCCACTTCCCCTCACCCCTTCACTCCCTCTCACCTTTTCACTCCCACTTCCCCTCACCCCTTCACTCCCTCTCACCTTTTCACTCCCACTTCCCCTCACCCCTTCACTCCCTCTCACCTTTTCACTCCCACTTCCCCTCACCCCTTCACTCCCTCTCACCTCTTCCCTCCCCCTCACCACGTCACTCCCTCTCATCACCGTACCCATGCACATCATCTCTCTTCCCTCCTTATGCCATGTGTTCGTCCTTCCACCCAGCTATGGCACTTGCATGGGCATGGCGCTGATGTCAGCATCACCCCATGGAGGCGACTCATGCATGCACATGCACAGTCCCACATTCAGGGGCCATGCACTGCCCTCGCCTTTGCTGCTGCTGCTGTTGCTGCTGCTGTGGGTTGTGATACTGGCAGCGCCACCGACCATGGCAGCAGTGGGTGGGGTGATCAAATTGCTGGACTGCTGCTGCTATCAGGAGGGTTTGATGGCCGACTTTCTGTTTGGGAGGGGAAGATTTAGAGGGGAAGGTTGATGGCCGTGTCTCGAGCAGTCTGCTGAAGAAGAAGAGGGTTTGAGGGGGCTTGGCTGGATGGAAGAGGAATTGGCAGTGTGCATTGCTGTGAAGTACAGGCGACACAGCAATGTGAATTGCCTGCACAGCAATGTGAATTCCCTGCACAGTAATGTGAAATGCTTACACAGCAATGCACTTCGTACAGGCAGCACTGTCACACACTGCATGGATTGCCTAGTAGCACAAGCCAAGCCTCAGTGCTGCACTTTGTATAGTACATCTTCTTCCTTAGCATTGAATTGCACTGTGTTGCATGCCTCCCCTGTTGCTCCCCATCCGTCCACTGGTCTCTAGCTCTGGCTACATCACAGGGTCTCTGTTCTCTTCGTTGTGTGTCTCGTGACTTGGAAAACTCGCCGGAAGACAGCTGTTACAGTAGCGTTATCCTTACATGGTGCACGGATGTGTTTGGTTTAGATCAGACTCATGGGTGAACACAAGCAGCTGTAAGGGTAACTAACTACTCTAGGCAAATTAATACACACAGGCAGGGCGGCAGAAAGAAGGCAGGAAGCCACCCAACACCAGACCTCATGCACCACACGTGATGCACACCAGGTAAACATTGCTTCAGGCAACAGGCAGCATGCAGCACGCAAAACACTAGCGCTTCTGCAGAGTCCAGAACAGCGTGCCTGGAGAGGCGAAGCCCGGAAAAGCAGGACGCAAGGCATCGCAAACAGAAGCAGGCGTGGCTGGAATCCGCTGCAGAGGCGCATGCAGCGGCAGGAGCAGCAGCAGCAAGGCTTTGCGGCCAGAAAAAAAGGTGTGGATGAGGCTTCGAGGACACTGGTATGGTGTGGATCTGCCCTAGAATGACACCTTTAGGCCCCCGTCTCAGCACATCCTTGAAGCAGTGTGGCGAGAGGAGGAGCGGAGGAGGAACGGAGGAGGAGCGGAGGAGGAACGGAGGAGCGGAGGAGGAGCGGAGGAGGAACGGAGGACGAAGAGGAGGATCGGCCAGGGCTGGAGACAGTGGGATGCAGCCGTTAGGCAAAAGTGGCCAAGGAGGGAAGATGACATGCCAAGGAGGGAAGATGACATGCCAAGGAGGGAAGATGACATGCCAAGGTTGCGCGCGATGGGGCTTGGGCTTGGGCTCGTGGCACATGTTGCTGCATGGCACGTCGTGCTGCTGAATAGGCTGCGCCGACAGCGACGGTAGAGTGGGCATCGGGCTGGTTGAGACGATGGTGACAACATCTATGAGGGTGATGATGGCGATGGCGATGCTCTAGAGTTTGCTACAAGGGAGAAAGGGACCAGATGCCCCTTGTAGGTGACTACAAAAAAGAAGGCCATCAAAACGGAGGTCGCAGGTGAGCAGAGGGAGGTTTCACGGAAGGAAAAATGAAGCCATCCAGCCATCCAGCCGTCCAGCCGTCCAGCCGTCCAGCCATCCAGCCATCCAGCCGTCCAGCCATCCAGCCATCCTGCCGTCCAGCCGTCCAGCCGTCCAGCCATCCAGCAGGCGCTCATTTTCGCAGTTCTCCCTTCACCAGGTCTGCCTATCAGCCACTCCTTCTGCTCGGCTCTGGTCACTAGAAGCAGCTCAGCCCCGCAGCATCGGCTGCATGGCAGAAGCAGTTGCTGCAGGGCAGGCATAGAAGCGTTCCTTGGGCACGTCTTAGAAGATGCGCAGCATTGCGAGTGGAGCTCCATGAAGCAGGAGGGTTGGTTGGAGGAAAGCAGGCTGGTAGTTGACGGCACTGAGCAATGGGGTCGGTAGGTAGTAGGTGAGGCTGATGCTGCTGCTGACTGTAGTGCAGGCAGGTGGTGAGAAACAGACAGCTCCAGGCTTGGACCACCCACCCGTCTCTCGCACAGCAAGCCGTTAAAAATACCATATGATTCTTTTGTCACCTTACTTAAAAAAAACGCAGGGCGGAGGCAGCGCCTGGCGGTAACAACAAGGATTGTTACACGAGTGGTTGCAGAGTGAGCACGTGCTCCAGCAGGTTCGCCTTCTCGGCCTGCAAGTTGCGGATTTTGGCCTTTAGCGCGTCGATGTACGTCAGCGTCTCGCACAGCAGCGTTTCCGTGGTGATGCGCGGGTTGCACAGGGGGATCGCCGCCTTCAGCTGCTCCAGGCGGTGGCTGTTGGGAGGGGGAGGGGGGAGAGAAATCGCCGCTTTAAATCGTGGAAAACGACAGTGCGGAAGGCGGACACAACGCGCACCGGCGGAAGACGCGCGCGTACGACGGATGACGCGCATGGGCGGGGGAAGGATGGGGGAAAGCGTGGGGGAAAGGGGGGGGGGAGTGACGAACATCGCGAGCGCAGAGTGTGACAGGGCCATCTCACGAGTCCGCCATACCTGATGTTGTTCCGCCTCTTCCGCTCCGCCACGGTCCGCGGACGCACCGAGCGCGCAGCGTCCCCCCCGAGTCCGTCCAGATCCAGCTCCGACCCCAGCGCGCCCGCGCTCCGCTTCATCCCCGCCCGGCCCGCTCCCCCGCCGGTTCCGCCGCTGCTTCCCCCGGGGCCCCCCCGGACTACATTTTCCCGCGGGGCTGCCGTTCCCCGCCCCCGCGCCCCGCTGCTGCCCCGGGCAGGTCTCCACGTTGCTGTCGCCCGAGCTGTCGCCGGCGTCGCCCGCGTCGGCGGCGACGCGACGGTTCTCGCGCGTGCGACGGGCGTGTTCGTCGTTCGCGTCGTCCGGCAGCGTCTCGCGATGGCGATAAGTATCCTGGTTGAAGTCGCCGCATCCCCCGCCGGGCGATCCGCCGAATCCGACGGTCAGTTTCAAGTCCGCCGCGTCCGGCCGCACCGCCGACGCGCCAACCGCCGCCGCATCGCGATTGTCCAGGTCCCGACCGACCGAGCCGCGTTTGGGAGGAAGATTCGCCGCAGCCGACGCGCCGGCAGCACCGCCGGCGTCGCCGGCAGGGCCGCCGATAGCTGCGCCGGAAGCGGCGGTTGCTCGAGCGATATCGCGGAGAACGGCTTGCTGAAAAGCCGCCGCGGCCGACGAGCCGCCCTGCGCGGCACGTGCGGCGATATCGAGTCGAGCGCCGTGCAACCCGACGGCGGCGGCGGCGGCGGCGGCTGAATCTTGCTGCTTGAGATTGCGGACGAAGGACGGGAGGTTCGCGTATTGCTGGAGCAGCGCGGGCAGAAGCGCTTGCGCTTGCGCTGCTTGCGCCGCCTGTGCCGCTTGCGCTGCTTGCGCCTGCGCCTGCGCTTGCTGCTTCTGCTGCTGCTGCTGTTGCATCCCCAGTCGAACTAACGGCTGAAGGGCCATAATGGCTTCGTCCATTCTCATTCCGCCACCGCTGCCGGCTCCTGCGGCGGAAGGCCCGCCGTTGGTTGCGGCGGCGTTTGCGGCTGCTGCAGACTGGCCGGCGCTTGCAACGCCGGCAAGCTCGGCAAGCAGGCTTTGGGACAGGTTCGTCGGGAGGTTCGGCAACACGCAGCCAGGCTGCAGCGCCGACCGAGCCTCTAGCGACGCTTTGAACGCCGCGAGCGACGGCGGCGGCGCGAAAATCGGAGAAGCTCTTGCCGCAGCCGCCGCAGCCGATGATGCGGCCGCAGCGGCGGCAACGGCGCCGAGATCGGCGGGATGAAGAGGCGCAGCGCGAAACGCGGGGGAAGGCGAGATTGTAACCGGCCCGCGCTCGGCGTTTAGGCCCGAACGAGGCGGGTCGGCTGCGGAGGAGCCTGGGCACGCGAGCTCTAAAAGCGTGTCGGCCATCGTGATCGTCGGACGAGTAGTTGAGGGAGGAATTACACAGAAACGAACATGAGGGGATTAATGTGAGCAAGATTTTTTAGAGCAGGATTAATGAGTAGGATCGATGAGGGTAGTACTACAAGCAGCACTCCCGGAAAGAGTCAGGCGATCAAGACGTGATGGCGACATCTGTAGCAATCGGCAGGGGGAAGAGCCCCTCCCTTGGCTTTATGCTTGCGAGGACAGGGAGGGAGGGCACATTAGTTGTAGGCTGCTAGGCAGCTGTGGGAGAAAAGAAATTCGACGGACGAGAGAGGGGGGATGAATGGGGAGGTTTGGAAAATTGACCTACAGTAACCGATAGAACCGGAAGAGGGTGATTTACCCAAGTGGATTGACCCTGAGTTTCGGAAAAAGAGGAGATTGGTCCCAGTGGGAAGGGGTTTTTGGCTGCAAGGACGGATAATATTGCGCAAGCTCATGGGAAGTGTTTTGGCTTTGGGCGCCGGGCGGGGGTGGTTGGGGGGCGTCGGGTCTGTGGACTCTGGTCGGGTGGAGTGGAGAGTGTAGACAGGCAGGCGGGAGATGAATGGAACAAGAGCGCGCCACGCACGGCTGGCGGGCGCTGGTGGTGGTGGATGTGGCAAGAAATGGCAGGCACCCAGGCATGCGTGACGCGTCCTTGCGGGCGCTTTGCCCGTTCAATGGCCACGACGGACAGGCAGACCAGTTGCCTTGCCAGAGCCCACTTGCCTAAACCCTGATGGGGCGGGTCAATCGCTCGCCCATCTGTCGAAATCACCTTGAGCTAGAGACACTGCCATCTTGTTCAGTGGTGTCCGCACAATCGCCATGGCTGCCCAGGCTCCCACCCACCTGCCTGTTTTCTTTTTACTTCCAGCACGAATCCTTTCTTACCCTTAGAAATAGATTCCCACTCCTCCTACCCCTTCCACTTCTCACAACTACCCATTTTCTTTTGTCGCTCCTTCTCCAGTTGTGGCTTGTTTTCGCCCTTATCTTGTATTTTATCACAGAAAATACTAAAATCCCAAACGATGGTAACCCAATTGAAAAAACCCCAATTGACGCCAACAATGTTTGGTTTCATTCTCCTCCTGCGGAAACAACGTGGAAGCTGACACAGGTGGTCCGAGGGATCAGATGGCAAGCCTTTCTCTTTTTCTTCTTCTTCCCTGGTGGCGGGCGAAAAGCATGGTGATTGGCAGAACAAACTACAGTAGTTGGTTTACAAGCCTGATTCCGGTGTTATTTTTCTCCGAACTCTGTACACTCTTTAACTCGTTAACATCAAGCGTGTACGTCAGGACGGCTGCGTTTGTTTTTAGCGGAATGTGATTGTACGTGACACAACGCGGAAACGACCGCCGGGGGTATTTCCCGAGCACCCGAAGCACTAGCAGTGTAATATGGAGTGACGAGTGGTTGATCCTACAGAGAGGGTACCACGAAGGAGATTTAAAACACTGGAAGGGGGCACAACAGTTAAAAAAGACCCGCGCACTGAACCGAATGTTGTTCCAGTGCCGTCGTGAGCAGGTGAGAGTTCCCTGGTTCCTTTGAGAACTCACATATGTTAAGGTAATACTCTGGGATGGGTTGAAGTTCGTTTTGGAGACCCCGGGCCAGCTCAAAGGGGCTGGCTCAACCCGTCCTCGTCTGTGGTTTTCCCACACAAAGCCAT